GGAAAATCAAGGTCCCAGAGTCTATCCAAATGTGTAAAAGTCACCTTAAATCTCTGCCTTATTTCCTTTTTTTTCTCTCTCTCGATCACTGTATACATGTGGATGCACTGTATACATCCCATGCCCTTTTCCCTCTTTTTGGCACCTTCGTTCGTGTATTGACGACATCTTTGACAAGTGAATTTCTCCACTGTGAGATCAATAAAATCTTATCATCTGTTTGAAGTTCAGTGTGAACTAGGGCTAGAAAATTCATTGCATTTGTAGCATAATTACAATTTATATAAAAAAAAAATTTCTAATCACATAGGCTTTTAACTTGTGGTCACCTTCAATATAAAGGGAGTTAAACACTAACTTTCCCCGTTTCAAGTGGCAGTAATATGCCACATAGACGGGAATAGAGAGTTGCAGCTTGTTTGCTGACCAATGCATGCAAGCTAAAGTGAGAAATTTTCCACAAAAAAGTTTATTCGAAAGACAATGGTCTCTGGACAAAACAGGGCCGATGAGGGAGCTATAAAAGCAACCTGGCTTTTCCTTAGAGCTTCACACTCCACACAGCATTAATGAGGTAATTCATGCAAGACAAGGGCCATCCACTTTTAGAGCGGATAGAAATGGACAAGATTTTTTTTTTATTATTATTTGATATTACCTATTATAAGGTAATATCAAATTCTATGTATACCTGTGAGATGCATACCTCTATTCTTTACCCGATTTGTTTTTTTTAATGTACCTGTACAAATCTCCAACAAGACTGAAAGATTTGACCTTTAAGAAAAGCTTTAATCAGAGTAGGGTTTGTTTTTTTTAGATTAAAGGACAGCCTAAGTTAAAAAGAGTGACTGAAGTAAACATGAGCTCAGCATGAAGGCTGATTGTTTCTAAAGATTTGAAATCAATAAATCAAAAGGCTCCAGTTAGCTTCTGTTCTAAACCCTGATTTTTTTTTTCTTTACAAGCAGCCTGTTTTTTTTTGTTTTTGTTTATATCATTCCATGGAAACATTTGTGTTCGTTGTTTAAAACTTTCAGATAAAACTTTTGAAGTTTTGCCTAGTTTTCCCACCTTTAATTTAACATGACAAATCAGTGAACTATGTCGCCATCTAGAGGTCAGTTGGAGAAAGTACACCCATATATTAATTGTTTTCAATCAAAACTTTGTTTCCATCAGTCTCTTTTGGATTGATGGAAACAAACTAAGAAAAAAAAAAAACGTGGCAATTCCAATTCGCTGCAAATGCTCTTCATTATATATGATACTATAATTAACTGCATTTATCCACAGTTTTATTTTAAATCAAACAAGTATCCGAATGGCCTAACAAACTGTTTGAATACACGTATAGGATGTGGCCCGAATCAACACAAAATAACACAATGACTCTTTAAAATGCACGAAATCTAAATATCACTGAGCATTTTATGAATAAATGCTAATATTAAAGAAAACAAAGCCTTTACGGGACTTACACTACATTACCATTGAATCATTACAAGTTTAACGGCAATGTAAGACAATCTAACATATATATATAAAACTGTTATATACGTATAAAAACATATTTTTATACGTTTCAGACATTTACAAAAGTCTATTTTTCTAAAGAAACACCTAAGACACTTTTAGTATCTAATCTAAGTAACGACAATATGAGTAAACAGTTATTTTCTTGCTAGTTAAGGTCCTGTAGAGATGGCAAACATTTTAAATTCTGAAAAGAAACACAAACAGTGTTTTGTTGCTCCAGAAAGAGACAAGGGCTGCAGCTCACCCGTTTGGTGCCAGCCAGCGGCTCTTCTTCCGCCCCGCCACGTCGGCAGGCCGGGGTCAGTGACAGCATCAGAGAGTCACACTGGTCAAGATGATTCCCTTCTGCCCAAACACAATTCAGGATGTATACAAGCACCGCACTCACGGACCTCAGTTACAACTAAATACACTGCACTTTCCGGTGTATTTCAGGGTCACGTCATCAGGAACATTTCGTCTTAGTAATCATGATATATATCCCATTTTAGCAGGGATACCAAAGTGTGTGAGACATAAATAGGCTAGACACAGGGGCAGCTACACGCCGCCATAAAAAACAGTATCCGATACAAAAATTAAAGAGAACACGTCTCCTTCCGTCTGGCTCGTTGGTCTAGGGGTATGATTCTCGCTTAGGGTGCGAGAGGTCCCGGGTTCAAATCCCGGACGAGCCCTCCTTTTTTTTTTTATTTGCTATCAGAATAGTTCGGAATTTCTTTATGTTACATAGTTTTGGGGTGGATGTTTTTATACTCGGGAATACATCCGTGCTCTGCGTTATTAAAAGAATCGGCCTGATTAAGAATAAGAAAAAACAAAGCTGGCGAATCGAGTTTCATAACTAACTTATATCAGAAGCAAAAAGAGAAAAAAATAAAATAAAATAAAAGATTTTTATTTCCTCTGTAGGTTAAAAATTGCTTACTTACAAATTAAACTTGTAATAGCTGTACAAATACTTAAAAAAAAAAATGTTTCACCAAACTAACAGGACTTATTTGTTAACATGTTTCTCATGTTAGATATGAATTAATAGATAGATAAAAAGTTCTACTTTAATTGCAAAAACATATCTATGTTAACGCAATATTTTTAATGTTTTCTATTACTATGCTCTGATATTCAAAAAATCATGGAAAGAAATCAGTCCAATCCAATATTTTTAACCAATACATTTATTTAGTGGTATAATAATAATTGAATGTTCTTTAAAAAAATGGAAAAATTACATAGACCTGTAAATTACAAGGATATGTTCACAGTTTAAAACAGTTCCCTTTGAATTGCCACCGCTTAGATTAAAAATATATGGTTTTTTAAAGACACAGCATGACAGAAATGTATACTAGAGTATCAAAAATCATGCGTAATAAAACCATTAATTGCCCTTTCAATTCAAAAATGTAAGTATATCACAACTTGCATGTGCATAGATAAAAAAAACAAACCATATACAAAGCAAAAACAATGTACTGAGTATCAGGGAGCAAATGCAGATCAGTTGAGCTGCTACATTCGGTATAGTATTTATGTAAATGTGAATAAATGAAGCTTTGCACCATTTAAAAATTGACAAACCGTGAAACCTGCAAAAGATTTCAATTTATTCAAACCAAACCTATATATTGATAGATGAGGGTTTGGCTTTGGGAATGAAATATATGATACTATTTCTATATACAAATATATTTTTATATGTAAAGTGCACATTGGAGATGTACAAAGACGCTTGGAAACTATTTGTTCTCCAGGAGGTGTATTAAAAATGTGCTCTAAAATATGGTAGAAGTAAAATCTGCAACTGTGTGACCTATGATTAAAACCATGGAGGAAAAACAAAATTCTACTTTCCAAATATATCTTCTCCATTGTAGGCTTAGGAGAAACAGAAATGTTTCTGAAATGCCAACATTAACGAGCCAATTTCCCTGTTTTGCACTTTGCATTTTTTTGTAAGAAAGTACCTTGCAAAAGTACCCTTATCCCTTGAACATTTACACATCTTGTTAAATTACAGCCATACATTTTAATCTGTGTTATTTGGGATTTTATGTAACAGAGCAACTCAAAAGTAGTGCATGGTTGTAAAGAAGAAAGACCTGCGTGGAGCACGTGGTGGAAAACTAATTCTTCAATCACCTTGAACATGGGCATCAATAGGGTGAAACATGGTAGTGGCAGGATCATGCTGTGGCTTTGCTTTTCTTCAGCATTGATAAGTTAGGTAGTCTGGTTGGAGATAAGGACAGTGGCGACAGTGGCGTTGGATGTAGTTTGCCCTGAAATCGAAGGATTGACGGTTCAAGCCCCAACTCCGACTTTCAGTGTCGTTGTGTCACTTCACCTGCATTGTCTACTGATGGTGGTCAGAGGGCCCGGTGGCGCCAGTGTACGGCAGGCCCGCTTCTGTCAGTGAGCCCCAGGGCAGCAGTGGCTACAGTGTAGCTTGCCTGTGTGAGTGTGGATGGGTGAATGAATGTAGTGTAAAGCGCTTTGGTCAAGTCGCCTAACTTGAATAAAGGCGCTATATAAGTACATGCCATTTACCATTTACCATAAGGAGGGATCGGACTAATTACTGAACAACACTGGAATAAAACCAGGCTCACCCTCACCACAAAATCTCGTTTGCTCTATCACAGAAACTCCCATTAAGTTAGTGGCTGTAACACAAAAATGGAGAAACATTCAAGAGCCAGTAATACTTTTAAAGGCACCATAAAAAGTGTCATACAATAAAAAAAAAGGCTACCACGGTGTCATATATATATATAAAAAAAAAACAGAAACAGAGTTTATACATACATAAAACATGTTATAATATAAAAAGAATAATAGTTATTCTACCCTTTAACCATTTGATGGGTGACTTTTCCTCACTCACACAATAATGCCCCTGTGCAGCCATGTTCACATTTCTGAATGAAAACATTAATAAACACTTCACTCTAAAAACAAAATGAATGAGACCTGCCGTCCCACTTTTACTTTTACACACTTTTACAGCTCAGACTTTTACCAAGCTGCTTTTATTAAGTGCACCTTTTCTTGCTGTGTGTGTTTGTGTGTGTCCAATGGAAAGCAAGTATTTAGCTACCTGTCCTCACTTCAAAATGAAAGGCCCACTTAACACCAAATATGTTACGTGTTTGCTCCGTGAAAAAGAGACGGAGCAGGGCATTGGTTATGCCGTTTCACCACGGAGCCAGTGGGATTTTACTGTATGGAATAGAAGAACACACAGATGACAGCGTCTGTGTGAATAAGGAGTTAAGCTTGTAGAGGCAGATGTGGTGTGTGGTGTAACGTGCAGGCTCATTAAGAAGGATTAAGCATTAGCATTATGTCACAGCTAGCTGCGCTCAAGAAGAAGCAAAACGACAAAGAAAAAACAGCTTAAGTATGTATGACACAATGCATAGTGGGTGTGATGTGATACATTCTGGATAGTTTTCACATTTTATTGTCCTAGCTAGCAAATAATGTGTATAAAAGTATGTATCAAGCCCAAAAAGTAACTACAGAGATCCTATGTTTTATTAAAGAATTTGAGCATGCCAAGACTTGGTTGATGATGCAGGTTGTCTCTGCAGACACATGAGGGTGCTGCTCTCAAGCCAGCTGAGATTCTGCAGCCACTCAGGGCCCTCCACAGCTGATCAGAGGTCTGACACAGCCACCATAAATGTCTAAATGAGCTGAACACAGAGTAGCAAGGCATTCCCGGCTCTTTTGAATGAGGTGAAAGTGTTCTAAACAGGCGCCCTGAGGAGACGTAGAGACTTTCACACTAGAAGGTGGCGCTTTTTGTGTAGCGCCAGGTGGTCTGAGCGGGAGAAGCTGCGTTCGCAGTCAGGACACTGGAAAGGTTTGACTCCTGTGTGCTTGCGGAAGTGTCTCGTTAGCTCGTCTGAACGGGCAAACTTCCATGTGCAGCCTTCCCACACACACTTGTAGGGTTTCTCTCCTGCGCAAAACAGAAGAAGAAAAAAAGCGGTTAAAGAAATGTCACATTTTATCAATAGAAAATATATATAGTGTGATCATATCTGGACCATCAAAAAATTAAAATAGTACATACATATCACCTGTCCTTTTGTTCTAAAGGTTATGCAGTAGGCATGGGGATCATTGGTAAGAGAAAAACACACATTCTTAACTGTTTTCTAGGAACATTTCTGCATTTTTCCCTTTTTTTTTTTTTATAAATGATGTGATAACATAATATAATTCATATAGGGCAGTCAGTGAGAGTGTTATTTCTATCATCCGTTTCACACACAATCATAGCGTCACATGTATTAAGCACACAAAATTAAACATTCAATTTGTTATTAACTGCATGAGCAATTAGCATTCCTAATTTGGGATCTTAATAGATGTATCCCTTAATGTAGAACAGGTTTAAAAAAAAACAAAAAAAGCCTCTTTGCGTGTGAGGCCTCTTACCAGTATGCGTTCTGCGGTGCGCTTTGAGGTGGGAACTCTTGGTGTACACTTTGTTGCAGCCAGAGAAATCACAGCGATGAATTCTGCGTTTTTTTAGCGTGTCAGGTGATTCTGCAGGTAAAGGATGCGTAGACCCTGTGCGAACTATCACTGATGGATTGTTGCACCTAAGAAAGAAAAATACAAATATCTCAAATGGTATTCCCTCTTTATGTGAAATGCTCAGCAGAGGGCGCCAGATTCCTGTTTGGAATTTTTGAAATCTACAGGAGCTGATTTTTTGTCTGATGCTAAATACTGAGAAATACATTTTTCTAATCTAACTTGCAGTTGTTTTGCCATTTCATTTCCATTATCTGCCATATTTGTGTATCTACATTTCAACAGTTTACTGACTAGAAAGTCATCTAAGCAGGATAAAAAAAAAGATCAGCCCTGCTGCTGTGAGTTAACAAATCTTAAAAGGGACACCAAAGCCTTAAAAAAATGCAAAGGACACGATCCAAAAAAAAAAGAAGCAATGTGTGCCAAAACAAATCGTGACACATCTTTTTAACCACAGCCTAAAGAACTGGGAGTGTGTTTGTATAAGTGGCAGTTGGGAGCAGGTGTCGAGTGTTGAAATGTGAATTAATTTCTATATAAAAGAATGTGGAGAATTCCCCTGAAAACACAGAGCCCAAAAGAAACCGGTCATTATTAGAAACCTAATCACCTCTGAAATATTTCCTGATGGATTATAGTTTATTGTATAGAGAAAATGTGTATGTAGGAAGTTATAGAGGTATTGACAGATAAAGCCACACCCACATATGCCTTCTTAAGGGTCCATTCATGTCTAAGTTGGCACAGTTACAACAACAAGCCTGTAAAAGCAGCCACCCAGACAAGAACTGGAACGGATGAGTTACGTTCTACTAACACACAAGCAAAAAAAAAAAAAAAAAAAAAAAACAACGGCAAAAAAAAAAAAAAGGCACAGGTGAGAACCAACTGCCAGTTAGCTGTTTTGAATATCACCTTTGTAAGTAAACCTGCAATTTGTTCCTTTGAGGGAAAAAAATGGCCTTTAGTTAGCGAAAGATGAAACACTTCCGAAAAAGCCCAGAGGAAATGTGGAAGAGTACGAGCGAGAAGAAGAGCTGTTGAAGACATTTACGAGAAAAGGAATTGACAAACATAAAGACTCTCCGCTGTCATTGGCAGCTTTGCTAAAGATATATACAAAGGACTTATGAGTGCAATGGAGACAGTTCTCACGGGTGGAGTATACAGAGGGAGGGTTTCTTGATCATTTCTTTTTGCGCAATGTCAGAAAATCCAGAGTCCTGGAACCACACTGCACCATTGTCTACGGCTTAGCCTAGAGGATTTCTATAGCATGTAGCTCGGGGGGATTGAGATAACCATAGAGGAAGATTGGTCATGCATCCAGGAAGCCAATTCTGCATCGATCAGATTGTGATTTTTGACTACTTAAGTCAGGTGAAAAAATCCAAAGCTCTTGAATTTATGCTGGTCATAGTCATTAAAAAAGTAAAAAAAAACACTGGACTTTGTTTCCAAGTCTGAAGACATTTCACTTCCCATCCAGGAAGTTTTTTCAATTCAAATGTCAGAAATAGTATTGAGTTGCTTCATACAGCAGCCCCACAAAGCCTTGTGTTTGCTTAGACAACATAGAAATTTAAAATGGATGAACCGGTCCACCCCTTTGGAATGGGGGTCTTTTGGTTTCTTTTGTTAGCCTTCAATACCCCATACCTGTCTATGTCTCTGAAAGGGGACTCTCAAAATTATCTTTATATATCCCTAAAGTAAAAAGTCCCAGTGTGGTTGAAAAAAATCTGTTTATATTTTTGATAGCAGAACAGAAAAGCCTTTTTTTTTCTGGCACAGCTGCCAAACAGCTGGTTGGTTTTCAGATTTTGGAGACATTCTCACAATTCCATAAAAATGGTTTACTCTTTTCAGCTATTTTTATCACAAGTTAGATTGTTGTTAACATAGTAATGATTGCTTTAACTGTCAATATGGAGATGTTTAGCTTAGCTTTTATTTTCTTATTGCCTTTTTCTATCATGCCATATGCTATTTAGAAAGGTACCAAACTGGTATAGCCTTAAGTATCTGTGTTAAGGACCTCAGTTGACTCTAGCTGTGGGATAGCATCTTGCTTTGGACAAATTCTAACATGGATCATGTTGAAACAGTCTCTGACCAATATTGCCATATAAAGTTAAAGGGGAAGAAAACACTGCAGCTTGTGCAACCTTTGTAGTGTCTCTCATTATCTTTGCATTTAGCTTGCCTTTGTCAGTGCTTCTACTCACTCGTAATCGTGGGGTATCCTGATGACAGGAGATTTAATCTCATGGCTGCTCAGAGCGTCCTGAGAAAGTTCAGACTGAGACTCCGTTTTTATTGACTTGTGCAGCTCATGGACCTCCCCATGCTTCGCAGAGTGAACTGGGTAAAGAGAAAAGAAACATAGTTTCGTTAGTTTTCTTTCCATTTACATATTTCTAAGATTTTATTTGCAGAAATAATGTTGGGTATCTCCACACATTCCTCTGAAACCACCACAAAGTTCAAGTTATACAGACTGGGACACTCCAACCAGCCGGTAGGCCTACTGCTAATGTCTATTTGGGAATGCCCCTGCAAGCTCTTTGAGCCTTTTATGTGTATTTAGGTCTCTAAAGTTGGCAATCTGCACTGCCAAATAATGGCCATTGGGAGAAGTGGGTGATTCCAGGTGACCTCCAGCTGGCAACAGGCCACACACCAGAGGAAGAAAATATTTTTTTGAAACAGTTTTCTAAAAGCAGAGAGTAAAAAAAAATGCTTCCTCATTTTCAGGAAGACTTACATAAACATAAAAGAAGGAAACAGTTTAAGACAATGAAAAACATTTAACAGAAAACAAAAATGATTTCAACACCTTTTTCTCGTTATCGTTAAATTTTCCTGATAGTGTCAAAGCAGGTCATGTTTGAAATGCAACATTCCAGCATCTGCCACCTAAGTTACTCAGAATTAGTTTGGATTGTCAAGATAGACATCAGAAAGGTGCAAATATGTTTTAGGTCAATAAAGATAAACAACAAAAGAGGAGCATCTGCAACAAGTAGAGGATGTCAGAAATCGTCTTCAGTAGAAGAGAATATCTTAATCTTTGATTTTTGATTTCTCTTGAACAAAAGCCTGTTAAATAAAAGACTGCCATGTAAGAGGGATCTAAAGTGCCATGCAAAGGCTTTTTCATACCTCACTGAATTTTTCACAAGTCTTAGATATTGAGATAAAGACAACATTGAACTTTTCCACCCACATGCTGAACAAGGAATACCTGGAAAGAAAGTGGTTCACAATTCAGGTCCTGAAGTGTTACTGCCCTGCAAGTGTTAGATTCTCTGTTGTAGCTCAACAGATTTAAATGATTGCATGAACTCCTCAGCAGCCATTAAATGCTGAAAAGGACTATTATTCATTTCTTCATATAAGTCAGGTCTGTGACCTCTAAAACACGCAGGGCAAGGGAACCTGAACAGGATACTCATGTGTCTAAATGGTCCAGTCCATCAACTTTAGGTTAAATCAGAATTGGAGGCATGGTTTTAAAACTGCTAATTGTAAACCACCATGCAATCTGGATAAGTTTCATCCATTTCGCATTGATAATTTTCCATTTGCAAAGCCAATAGAGGCATAAACAGAACTTGTTTGGAAAGATAATAGCAGCAAAAGGCAGAGCTACACATTTCTGGCTCAAGAATACTAAAAATACAAATGCATATTCCTTGTAAAAGCTATCAAGTACCACACTTGGCTATGCTTTCACTTCCCAATAATTGCTTATGTTGTGTTGGTCAAATCCCTATTAAATACACCAAAGTTTGAGGCTGTAAGGTGACAAATTGTGTAATTGTCTAAGGTGTAGAAATGCTTCTGTAATGCTTTGTATCAAGTTGAGCAGAATATAGATGAAGGTACAAGCAGGTCTCACCATACTTATGTTCTCTGCTGGTAGGATGGCTTTCATCACTGGGGAGAGGTGGGCTCACAATTATCGGCGGATGAAGGTGAATAGGTGACGGGTACATGAGAGGCAGGGGCAGAACAAGCGGTGACACCATAACCCTTGGACTTTGTATGACCATAGATGGGTAAGACATTGTGTGAGTCGGTGGGGGGAGGGGTTGAGTGGGCGAAGAGTGAAGGTGGGAGTGCGGGGAGCAGGGAGAGGCACGGCTCACTGAGCTGTAGGTTGAGGATGGAGAGCTGGGAGGGGAGGCTGGGGAGGATGCTGGCGATGTGGAAGAAGCTGAAGAGGTGGAAGAGGAGCGTTTGCTGACGGACAGGTCCACTGGCTCCTGCTGTGTTGAGTTGCACTGGGTGAAGGTGTGCATGGGCATTCTGTAGAAGGCACTAGGATGGGGAAAGATCACTCCGTATGGCTCTGCGGTTGTCACTGAGGAAGGGTAGAAGGACTGTGAGGAGGAGAAGAGAGGATGCAGGAGGAGGAAGTGGTAAAGGGAAACAAAAGAACAGAGAGGTAAACATTTCCTTTCTGCCTTGAATAACATGGAAAACATATTTCTGCGAACAAACAACCGAAGCCAGCTGAAAAAATTGAGACGCAGCACTCTGCTCAGCAGCAGATAACTGTTATAAGTACAGTGTTTGTATGCACGTTCATTAGCCTAGCAGTATGTGTAGACATTGTATGCAAAAATCTGCTGTAAGCAGCTTGTTTGTCCAGGAAGACCAGGAATGTTGGTCTAGACATGTAGCAGGAGTGTGTGGAGCCTTTTTTACTTGTGTGTGTTGGAGCAAATGCGTTGGTGGTAGAGGTGAATGGGGCATCAGCATGTTTGGGCAAGATGGAAGAAGTAAAAAAGCATCTAAAAATTTTGTTTGCGCAAACACACCATCCTTACCGTCTCCATGTCTGTCTTTGGAGGGTAATCATACATCAGCATGTCTGCAAAGGCCAGTCTCCTACAAAATTAAATATATTTGCATTAGTACACATCATCTTCCTCAAATATTCAGTCATCTTCTTTTACACTCAAAAGAAACACAGCTTAATTCTTTAAAACAAATCTCTGATCCATAACAGTCCTATTCTAAAGTTTATGCATTTATGTTTTTAACTCTGAATATATGTATAGACTCTTTACTGAGAACACTTTTTTGTTTAAAATACAAAACAAATACAAGTGAGAAACTCAGACTCTGAATCCCCTAATTGATAAATTTCTAAAGTTTATTGTTCATTAAAATTGTTGTCTCAGAATGGATTAGAGAAATCAGTTTGGAACCAGATTGATACACTTTGCATCTAGACTGGCACTGATCTGTGACCTTCTGTTCGAAACCTTATAGGTGTGGTAGTTTTCTGATCCCCGAATACAACAAGTGCGACTAAGTCACACTCACAACAATGCTTATTGTTGTTGAAACTGTTAATAAGCAAAAAAAATTGCCTATTTTCAATATCAGTGAGGCGTTAAGTATGAAAGGACAAGAAGCTAAAAAAGGTATTTTCTATGACACAACAAGACATGTCAGCATCAGGCTGCAAGACAATTAGAGAAAGTAAGACTTTCCACAGACAGGCAGAAAGAAGTATTTGTTAAAGGAGCTCTGTTTCATATATCTAAGTTTGTATCTTTCATGTCAAATGCTGAATATAGACATGGAATACATTTGGAGAGCTTTGGACAGCTTACTAATATAAGCTGTTTAAGTTAATTTAGATTTAGACTTAGAAATTGGAATAGGCTAAAATTGCTCGCATTTGATCAAAGCTTTACTAAAACCATTGGTTGGAAATAACTGCACACCCTGAGGCTGCTTTGTTGCTTTTATATTTGCAATTCTCTCGTGCCAAGTGGTACATACATGCACACATAACCACCAAATGTTTTGAAACAAAGTTCTGTATATTGGGATGTGCTATTTAAAATGTCAAAAGATATTAGAACATTGAAAAACCTCTAAAACTACAGACAACTTTTTACAGGTTTGATGTGCCTGGAAAAACGTCGCCGTGCAAAAAGGTTAAAACCTCTGACACTTGATCACACTTTAACACTCCCCAACTACTGAGAATGGACAGGTATTTGGAGAAAAGAGTGTACGTTTCCAGTGCGGTTCCAGTTACCTTGGCTTTAAATGGCCAGATGGAGCTGAGCTGGCTCTTTGTGCCTAAATGAGTGTGATTGTGTGCAAGTGTGTGTTTGTTCACTGGAGCATTAAAGCAACACGAACTGTCAAAGAATGTACCCTGAGGGACTCTGTGTGTGTTTCTGTGTATGACCTGATTAAAGTCCACAGTCTGGAGACAGGTTGGCCTTTAATTATTAACAAATGGCTAAGAACACCAGTCATCACGGCCAGACAGACACACACAGGAAGGCATACAGGCACTCACACAGAGGTTGGGGATGGAGAGCAGACGAATGAGAGACGGAGGCTAACTAGCTGGGTCAGGAAGGGTGTGAACATGACGAAAGAAACCTCGCCCTTTGCCTGTCTTCAGGGAAACAAAGAGCTTGGCAGTCAGGTGTGTGCATGTGTGAGGGCTTTGCGAGTGTGCTTCCAAACCAGGTTTAAATTGTATTGTAGTTCAACCAGAGGTCAAGTAATTGTCCTATTGTGGTTGTGAATTGCACATTGCGCTGACAATGCAGACAAGTATGAAGTGCAAACAGAGGACGACAACAGGATATGGACAAAGGAAGGATTAAACCATGACTTTTACAGCAACAACCAGAAAGTTTAAGTGTTTTAAAGCTGTGGTATGTGTGACCTAAATAGAAAACTGGGCTGATCCTTAAAACGAGGTGTTAAACATCCATAAATCCCTGATTTACACAAGAAGTAAATCTCAGCAGAGAATTGTTTAGAACACATTTTCTTCAATTAATGAGCAATGAAACAAATAAAGGCTATAGTTTAGGTTTGGTTTGTTTATTCAAGTGTGTATTTATACTTTAGTGCATATTTCAGGTGTTTGAACAGTAGAAATACTATAGGCTTCTATATTCAATTAAAAATACACATTGTAAATGTGGTGGTTATTGAACTTTTCTATACCCTTTTTTAAAATAAATGTACTTAATTTTTAATTTATATTGACTTCATTAAATGCTAATTGGTGTTCTCAAACACTTGAATCGAGCTTCTTGTTTTTATTAAACTCAGTTCTCCAAATCAAAATTACTTTTAAACCTTTAGTGTTTCTATCCAATTTTAAATATATTAACCTCTCAAACTAATTTTTGTTTCTAAAGTATGTAAACAATTTTTTGTTATGATTGCTGTGGATTAAACTTTCTTTTATCCAAAGATATTTCATTTATTGATTAATATTAGAATGATTAAGCTGCTCTTCTTCCAATATCAAACAAACCATAAAATAGGTGGATTTGTTTAACTTCTTAACAATGCTAACCACAATGAACTACTATAAACTTTAATAAGTAAATACAACAGCATTTTATATAACTATTTAAAATTGTTAATTCATATTTTTTGTAATTCACCTGGACAAACAGAAATGAGAGTTTCTGAATGCAGACCTGTTCAGAAGCTCCACCTAGAGATAGGGCATCACATTTCTTGTTAAATTTTAAAAAATATGGTCAGAGTACATGTGCATTCAAGAACAAGTTGCCCTACATTTTGCACTTGGTGTAAAAATTTCAACATCACCTAACTACAAGGATATACCAGGTAAAATTGCATGGTAAAAACATACACAGACAACAGTCACAAATGTATCTATATAAGGTAGAGCGCATACAGAAAATGGCAATTATCTCTAAACACCTGAACAAGAACAGCCCTGAAGACATTTAAACCTCCAATATTCACCTCTGAAATGTCTCAGAAATATGCTTGCGTGCTGAAGAACAAACGCCTTTTGCCTAAATACAGGTTAAATTCTTCGAAAGGCTGCATGCACTTGCGGGAACATACCATTCTCCTTAGGGTTAACTTGTCAAGCACCACAAAGTTCTTCAGTGCAGAAAGTTTACATAAATCTGAGAACAATATGAAGCAATTTTGAAAAAGTTGCTCAATGTGTGGACAGTTTGGAAAGAACATGAGATAAAGTGATCTGTTAGGCAGACCGAAATGAGTGCTACAATCTCCTACTTCTGCAGGACAGATTCAAGGCTTAAATCAAATATAATCTACAGCTAAATGAACTAATTTAGGAGTCATAAACATGGTAAATAAAAAGTCTAACTCATGTTGTAAAGGAATCCCCCCCCATTTGTGCAAAAGTGGGTGTGTGTTTGAGTATGTCTGCAAATATTGTCTTTCTAGGTCAGTACAGCTACTGTGTACTCAACCCCAACCCACTCAGCAAACACTTCCTGGATCTCCTCTCCACACTTGGACTCCATGTTTTCTCCTATAACTCCTCTTCATTCGCCCCCAAGCAATTACTTGCAATCACTCATATCACTACCATATTTAACCCTCCACCCTGATTCTCCTTGCTCGTCTTTTTTCTCTCCCTCTCTACGAATGATATAAAACAAACATGACTGAAGGGGAAAATATTGTGGCTTGGAGGCCTTGGCCACCAACTCAACCACACACACACATTTCTACATGATCACGGCAGCACACAGGACTTTCTGCTAGCTCAACAAAATACACACACTAAATCACTAAAGGGCTAAATTATTACAGACACGCACACATGCTCTAATGGCAGCAGGCTGGAGATGATGAGATCACCAGAGAGACCAGAAACCTCCAGACAACAGCTTTGTCCAAGAACACGCTGCAGCACACACACACGGTGAAAGCCATGATCTCCCTGCCCCTCACTCTGGCTTTTCCTTTACTGTAAAGCCTCTTTTTTCCCCTATTTCCTTCAGTCTCACCTCATGTCAGTGCTCTCCCCTGTTTTATCTCACCATTGTCACTTTGACACCAGATTGCCAAACTCATACTCTGCAGCTTATGGCAATATTGCCTAATCTTCTTCAGAACAGGAACTTCATGTACAAAATAAAGACTGACTCGAACTTTGTTAATGAAGGCAAAATTAGTCCCAAATCAGGGTCTAAACTGCCTGACTCATACAGGTGGTGAGCTAATATTCCTACGGTTGACTCTTTAAGAGCTATTAAGTGCACACTTCCCATCAATTGGCCTTTGTTGCTTCATAATTGCTCCCACTTGTAAATCTCTCAACACTAAGTGTAGCTCTATTAGGCATCAAACCAGCAGGTGAACCTGCTGGTTTGATGCCTAATAGAGCTACAAACCAGCAGGTTCTCAGCGTGGTAAACGTGCAGAAATTTCCACAAAGATAACCTTGGGACAAATTTGACTAGTCTATTAACAACAACAACAACAAAAAACTTTAACATCCATTAAGTCCAGCCTTTCTCTCAGCCACCTCTAGCTGTTCAGGAATGGCCAGTTAAATCAGCAATAGCCAGCAGATATCTACAATTTTAGATACTGTATCAGGAGGACATCCTGGAACCTCAAAGGTGACAGACATCTTCCATTCCCAGCAATCAGAAATGCTTCTAGTTCAAGCATGTCTTTTACTCTAGTTGCCATAAGTCTAGGGCTGCAACTAAAGATTATTTTGCAAATCGGTCAATCTGTCGATTATTTTTTTTGATTATTCCATTAATAATTGGGTAGACAAAGGTTCCTTAAAGATTTTTTTACTAAATTAAACCAGATGAAACTAAAATGTTTACACTTGAGGAATTCTGGATAGAGTATACTGACAGATGAATTTTTTTTCTTAAATGCAAAATGTTTATATGTTTTGCTATTTATAGATATAATTACTGCTCTAAGTTGTTTCTGTGTTAGCTCAAGGCATGTATTACAATCTCAATACTCTATTTAACGAATAATCTATGACTAAAATAGTTGATGATTATTTCAATAATCGATTAATCATGATTATTTTGATTAATTGTTTCAGCCCTACATAAGTCAATAGAAAAACTGTTGCCACTTGCCTGTTTAAGTTATAGCATTCATCATATCTTCCTCAATATCTTGCGTATTTCACCCAATGATTTAAATGTTTGGTAAAAACAGGCTACATTACACCGTTAATAAAACTAATGGTTTGTACACTTTTAGTTTTCACTCTATGCCAGTCTATAAATGGGTGACTATGGCATATATTTACAACCAGCTAATTCTTTTGTTTTTTTATCAGCATGTTTAAGTAAATTAATAATAATAATGAATAATGACACTTTATTGATCTTCCATTGGAGAAATGTAATTCTTCATTTAACTCCTGTTGAGGAGCAGTGTGGGGATCAAAGTTTACTGCTCTAACCACTAGGCCATCACTCCCCCACAGTGCTGATTTGCTCTATGCTTCATATAGCTAAAGAAAATCCTGCTCAAACAAACATATTTTCCAGATTTTTATTCAAACATTAAACTGTAGAGACTGTTTGGTGGAAATGTCTTACTGGTTTTAACTGCAACCTTTGAAAATATGGATAACTGTCAAGCAATGCTTAAAGAAACACTGACACACGTCATTGTTTCTTTAAGGATGACGCTTAAATTGAACCTTATATTTTTCCAATGCAAGAAGTCTCTTTCCAAAGCCACTCTAAGGTTTAAGAGCCATTTTGAGCCAGTTCACTATCAGTTTAAAGCAGTAGGTAGAGGAGAAGCATTGCTGATTAAACAGGTTTGGGAACCAAAACTGTCTAAAACTAAAGTATACCCAGATACCAGTAACTAGGCCATGCCAAACCATCATTCTGCATAATATCAGTCAGTCATCTCGCTACTGGTTCCTTTAGTTCCCAAATAACATTAGCTCTGCTGACTCCTCTTACTTTGAGGCCTCTCTTCTTGGCATCCCATTCCCTCTATTGGTCTGCCTAGCCCCTACCTCCCCAAAAACCCACAGACACACTCATGAACACACATGTGCAGATCCTCTCTGCTCCTCTCCAGCAGACTTTGAGGCTACAGGCCTCCAGACCTCGGGGGGGGGGGGGGGGGGGGGGGGGAGCCAGAGGGGGGCCTTCAGCAGGGGAGAGGAAACAGGATCCATCGTCTTGCACACTGACACACAAAAACGCGAATGTGCACGCATTTAAAGACACAACCGGAGCTGTCAAGCACAGTCAAAGGCAAACACGCGTACGCACACCTCAAGTCAGCTTGTCAGAAAGTGCCACTTTTGAGGCTTTCCAGACAACTAAGGACAGAGGGGAAGGGGAGAAGAGGAACGGGGAGAGAAGCGGAAGCCCTCAGAGTTCAGGCCGACTGTTATTATTTCCACACTCCGTGATGGGTCGGGGGGTGTGAAGGAGAACAGGAGGAGGAGGAGGAAGAGGAGAGCAAAGCCAAATGGGGGGTGCTGCTGCAGGGGGCCTGTGGTTTCCTGTCTGACTCCCACCCCTCCACCACATTCTGCACCTCCCTGCTCCAAGAACGAGAGGGGAACAGGGGGGGAACAGAGCAAAAAACAAAAAAAAAAACAGCCGCTGTAACCCAACTATGTCAAAATGGAAGTGGAAACAACAAGGTTGAGACAGAAAATGGGAAGAAAATGAGGTGGGTTTCAACCAAAGTATGACAAAACTTCAGAGAACCTCAGACATGGGGAGGGGGGGCAGGCGATGAGATAGTCGCATTGGCTCAATCCAGCGGTTGAAACGCACTAAGAGATGTGTCGGTGTGTGTGTGTGTGTGCGTGCTGCAGCATGACATAAACTTGTGTGTGCTGGCAGGCATTGGGTTGTGTAACTACTTACAGCTTTTTAAGTTTATGGCTGTCTGAGTAGCACAGTGTCTTTTTCCCGTAAGTTCCCAGAGAGAACCACCAACCGTCCAGCATCCAGGAGTTTAATGTTTAGCCCTAATGTTCCCTACGACATGGCCTTTGAGCAGCTGCGTGTGTGTGTTAGTGTGTGTACACAAAGTCTTGTGCATTTTGTTCCACCAGATAACATCAGCGTGTTGATTCAGGAAAGGAGGCGTTGGGATGGGTGGAGTATTTAGGGCGTGTGGGTGTGTGTGTGTAGTCTCCTTCTTTAATGTCTAAATTAGAAATCAATAAAAACAGACAGAAGAGTCCTCTCTTATGGTACCTAAGATAGATGAAAAAAAGAGCAAGAAAGGGAGAAAGAAGCTGAGTGGAGAGATGTTGCCCTTGCTACACCCGTCTACCCCCAACATCCTCCTCTCCTCCCTTCTTTCTCTTTCCCTTCTTTCTTTCTCCAGGCTCTAAACAGGATAAGGGCTTCATATGCCAAGTGGAATGTGTGACGCAAGCCCAGGCCTTGAAACAAAGCACAGGAAACAGGGAGAGACAGAGAAACGCGCGCACACACACACACACACACCTACAGATTACACACACACAGGGGAGCAGATGCACATTGTAAAAGACCTAATTTAACTAAAGGACAGAGAGGAAAGTTCAGGTGTGACAGTGTTATACACAGTTTTTTATCACTCATTCAATGCGTCAAACCACACTTAATTAGTGATAATTAGCAGACAGTTTAATCAAAACAACTCATATTATTCACAGCTAAATTAAATGACACAGTGACATAAAAAAATAGATGTTACTTAAAAATTTCACACTCATCTTTCTTTTCTCTTGAATTATTATTAGCTGTTCTTAGATAAAATAACATATCAGTCCTAGGGGGCATCAGTTATGAGATTTCATTATTTTCAGCAATTTAGGGAAAAAATACTGTCAGAAGAGATATTATTTGAATAGATTATTTTTAATACCATTTAATAAACTTATTTAACTTTAACATCAGTAAAAAAATTTTTTTATAAAACATGTTCCTAATTTGTTTGAAACAAATTCCCTTTCACTTTATATTTCTGTTAGAGCCTAATTTAATCCATTTAATAAAAAGCATTAGGATCCCAAATATGGTCAAAGGGTAACTACAACCACAGCTACGTTTTTTATTATTATGTATTAATGATATGACCATTTAATTAGACAATTGTAAATACACAGGCCTTTTTTTTGTATTATGTTTTTTTTATTATTATAGGAAATATACCTGATTATAAACTTTTAAGACACTTTATCACATTTAAGACTGATTTAAAACACGTTGTCTGAAATAGGAACAAAAAATCTTTTTAGGTAATATATATATATTTTTCTTTAGTTTTTTTTTTTTTTTTTAATATTACAGGCAATAAAAATCACATCTAACCCTTAGGCTTGAAGATTAGAAAATATATATTTTTTTCCCAGCTTGAATATTTCTACTGCCAAACAAAACAAATACAATGACAGATAATTATGTAATATTTCCCAAATGTTTTTTTTTTTTTTTACTCATAGGAAACAGTTGCAGAGTCTCTACAGGATTATCATCATCATCAGACTTACGTCTCCGCTCAGTTTCAGGGTCAGTCCTTGTTGGGGACAGACGCTCGTTTTGCTGCTGCCTTGCTGAACGGCGGAAAAAAAAAAACCGACCGGCGGAATTTAACCAGGCAACCTCCGGAGAAAGAGTGGCGCGCGCGGCGCTGCGAACGGATCGATGGCTCCACTGGACCGAACCGGGTTCCTAAAGTCCTCTCTCCAAGTGTAGCGTTAATAAGTGAGCCGCCACGGGTTTGCTGCCGTCATAGATCCTGTTTGTTCGCCTTAAGGGGTCGGACCTTTAGGGCGGGACCTGGGCGGGGTGGCCCGGTTCACTGCGTGCGTCTTTCACGCACTACAAGGCTTTTCTAGCGATAGATGAGCACCAAAGATTGGTACACACTGTAATGAGCGCTGTTACAGAATTAAAAGAAACAAAATTGCTTTTGAAGATGCATGGAGATTTATAAAATGTGTTTTTAGACGTCACAATATCACCACATTAACTACTTAATTATGTTTAATTGCTGGCCACTTTCATATCATATTTATTCATTATAATTGAATGAATTCATGCGAATTTCTGTGAGTTCAATGTCACACTCCGTTAGTGATATTGCATTTATTTAAACTTTGTAATATTTTATTGTATTTATCTTCATTTATTTCACATAAATCTGTCTAGGGAAATAAAAATCAACATCAATTAAACTTGTGTAGAATGATATTTCCCTACTTAAAGAAAAGGACCCTTCATCTTATATTAACGTTTTTAAATTTGAATCAATCTAAATTGAGTTAATGATATATGCTAAATGTTAGAATACTGAAATGTGCATGCACTAGGGTTACTACCTCTTTAAATATACCTGTATGTATCTTATAGGTTACTTGAGATGGAGCCATGATGGTGTATTTAAGATAATTGCTTATTTGCATAAAATCAACAATTAAAATATATCCACCAATTTATCAGGAAGAGCAATTGGGACCTCCAACATGTCAGCCACTGATTTTTACCTTTCCAAGAGAGATGAGTAGAGTGCCCCAACATTTTTATTAAGTAAGAGTAGCACTACTTGATGATATTTTTAAAAGGTAGCCTTTAAAGAAATAACTCAAGTAAGAGCAAAACAGTATTTGGTAAAAATAATTTTTGAGTACTGAGTAACTGATCTATGTACTATCATAATAACTAGGTTTAATGTTTTACAAAGTGATGTAAAATTTATAATAATATGCAAAATCTGGTCTTTGAAAGAATAAGATTGAAATAAGTATTTTTACAAAAAAGTACAGTAATTATACAAGAAAAGTTTGGTGTGATGAACATATTTTTCTGAATTATAAAACAATATAAATAGTTACAGTATGTAGAATATGTCTAAATAGGTTTGATCACTGCTGCAATTGATAGAATGGAAATGTACATTTACTGTCTGAAAAGCTGTATTGCAACAAAATTTCATTTTGTTTACAATCTGTTTATTCAATATGACAATAAAAGTGTTTTAAGTCTAAGCAGTGTATTTTCCTCCAAATGAAATGGCAGGATCAGCAGAAAGAAAATAACTTTCAATCAACAAGGTTTATGTACAAAAAATAAGTAAGTCTCTCAGTGGTCCATGTTTGTTTAAAAGAAGCTTATTTTTTTTTGTTTGTTTTGTTGTTTTTTTAAGTTACTGACAATGGATGGAGTAGCCAGAAATTTTACTCAAGTACTAGTAGTGATATTTTGTCATATTTTTACTCATGTTAGAGTAAAAAGCACAGTGTTGTAAAGCTACTCCAAAAAGTACATTTAAAAAATGTTACAAATTTTGTTACAGATAAATACAAATAAATGTAATTGATTAAAGTAACTAGTAACTACCCACTTTTAAGATTCCACATGTATATGTTTAAACTTTTTTGTAAGTAGAAACTGCTAAGAATTCAAAGCAATCGTAAAACAGACAGGTTTTGTGTCTTAAAGCGTGTTTTAGTGCAAAATGTTTGCAAAAACCAACAATTAAAATCAAAAGACCTACTGAGGTAGCTGTTGGAGGCTGCTAAGTGAGTGTCATTATCCACAGTGAATATAGTCCTGCACTGACAGGGGTTAAAAACAACTTAGATAAAGGGACTTCCATGGGTTTTTTTGGTAACATCTGATGAAACGAACATGAAGCATTATTTTGGTGTATTTAGACAAAATCCTGTGAGGAGGACTGAGCCAGAATCCCAGCATACATTTGTATCACATGTACGTTAGCTTTGGATATTTTAGTACGTTTATTATCATTTAAAATAGCAAAATAAATAGTTTCGGTCATGTTGACACACCTCAAACAGGATATTTTTTGTGTGTGACATAAGCAGGAAGAGGATTGCGGGAAAGGGATGAAGAGGAAAACAAAACAGTAACAGAGAACCGATACAGCGTTTCAAGGAGGAGACACACCTGTCAGGTAAAGTGTTGAATTTAAAACACCTGATATTAAACCAAAAATGATTCAGTCCTCGTTATAGAAAAAGGTTGGCGGGTTAAGACTAGAGGACATGGCTGTAAACACTGATCATAAGCGGTCATAAAAGGTTAAGAGATAAAATATCAGGCTAAAACGATATATGATGACATGCATCATATATGCAAAGTGAAAGTATTTGTGCTTCTAGTGAACTGGTTGAGCATAGTGTTGGCATGGATACCTGCACCAGCAGCTTGGTCACATATCTGACAAGTTAGCACTTATTCTGGGTCCTTTTACTTCCTGAAAAGCACAGCACAACCCTAAGACAGAAATCCTCTAAATGATATTACCATTAAATTGCAAACACGGATAGAATGTGCCTCCATTCTAGCACACACTAAATGAAGATTAACAAACATCAGGCTCACAAGGAAAACATCCTTGTTTAAATATAGTCTTGATAGCTGCTATATACCAAAAACATATGGGAATATAACCTAATAATAATATAACTTGCTGATATATCTTAAATGCAAATATATAGAATCTGAGTTTTGGTTTAAAAATAATTTCTTAATAGATTGATATATTCTCCAACAAAAAATACTCATTGTTTGGCAGAATTTAAATATGAGGTCCTTCAAAGTTCAGTACTGATTCTTTTCTATTTTTATGTTTTCTTTAAAGCCCTATACAGATATTTTCAAACTACATTTTTACTTAAATAGTATGTTTTATGAAAACAAATTTTCTTTATATGAAACTGAATTTTTTTTTTTTTTTTGTACACCTTTTAACTAACAAGTAGTTAAACTTGTTACTTAAAAAGTGTGCAAAAACATATTTTTTTATTTTCATATAAAGCCAAGTTGTTATCATAAAACATACTATTCATGATGGAAGCTGAAATGGAAAGTTTGTCAAAAATTAAATTGATTTTAGCAAGTTTGAGACAACAAATCATTTTAGGAGTCACAGGTAAATTCTATATTATCAAAAATGTGTATAAAATGTAGCATACAATGAAATGAAATGTCCTATATTATTTAAATACCTTAAAGATCTTCAGTTTGCATTCTTTTAGATTTTTTTTCTTTCTAAAAATTTGTTTTTGATCAAATGAATACAATACTGTGAGCTTTAAAACGATAATAAAAATGTTTTTGCCATTAACTCTTAGAATGACATCAGGGCTCTGAATGGTCCCCAAAACGTTAATATTGAGGTGTAATTGGTTTGTATAAGTGGCTTGGTTCATTTTCTAACATATTATTTAAATGACCTAGTTCTGATATATATATATATATATATATATATATATATATATATATATATATATATATATATATATATATATATATATATATATATATATATATATATATATATATATATATATATATATATATATATATATACTACTACTATATATATATATACTACTACTGCTCTAAGTGGGTCGCTCTGTCAGCTAAAGGCACATTTTACAGTCTCTATACTAGAGTTAATGATTAATCGATAACTAAATTAGTTGATTATTTCAATAATCAATTAGTCACGATTAATCTGATGTTTCAGCTCTAATATAAACAGTTGCAAATGTCCAACGGGGGCTGAGTAACACTGGCTCTGAGCAAACTATAATGGCAAAGAGTTCAAAAAGGTGTAGCCAGCATGATGACCTTCTTTTTTTTATAACAAAACCTAAAAAATAAATCTTTGAGATTTTCCTTTTTTCCCTAGAGCTACTGTAAACTTTAACTTTAACCCTTTTTAGGACACTCAGTGAAATAATTTGAAAATCAAAATTTCAAGCCAATAGTGTTATTGGAATCCTGGACAAGACCTTATTACCTTATAATTCATAAAAACACAAACACCGGTAAACAATTTTATTTTATTTTTTTTGGGTACAACATAACCCTAGAGGCATTAACGCTGATACTGGCACATTTGATAGTTTATAAACCTAATTATAATTGTTAACTAGGCCTATTAACTTTTTAATTTTACTTTTTAACATTTTAATTAGCTTTTTACCTTTTTTTCTTGACTTGTTAACTTTTTTTTTAAAACTTAATTTACAGTAGATAAAATATTATTCAAGAGCTCTTCTAATTGGTCAAATGCCAAAATAAGATGTACAGCCATGTAGCAGTGTCTTTGCTGAATGGCTGGATATAGATCTTGTAGATCTGGATATAGATCGGGGGGACTCCATTTGTAAGGGGTATGCAAATGTTTAAAAACGTCATCTTGCCCTATAAAGGGTTACGTTTTTGTTTTCTTGGACAGTGGATTAAAAAAAAAGTATTTTACAGCTCAAAAAGCTACAAAAAATGAACAAATGTTTCTTTTTTCTAAATAAATGCATATTTTTCCATGTTTACAGTTTAAAAAGGTTTTTGTTGCTTACTTAAAAAGCATACCATAAGAACCGTGACATGTGTCATCATGCAGCCTTCCCCTTTACCTGGCCTGTGCATTGAGGAATGGCAGTAACGGTGGCTGCTGCTGTTCATGCAAAGCTCAATGTTGAAACAGGCTGTTGGTATTTCTGGATGACTTCTTCTGTAGAGGAGTTAAGACATACAGTACAAGAAGACACATCCACATTACTTCAGCCAACCTCTGTGTATTTGAAGTATGGAGGACTGGGTGTGGTGGTGTCTTTCAGTGTGTTTGCTTTCACCATTGTGAACCATGAACAAAAACTTGATTTCTAATCACACCTTCCTTCCAAAGTTTGCCATCTGAGTCAATATTCAAACAATATTTATATTTATTAAAGTAAATATATATTAACCGGATTTTCA